AGCTGCTTGCTTTACTGCAAGCTAATGTTAAAGATCAAAGTAAATAAAATAGTGTTGATGTTATTCAGTTGTCTCTTCCCCATATTTAATGCAAAATTAGCTGCATTTAGGATTATATTTAATTATATGCTCCACTTCATGTCTTGCTTTTATTTCTTCTCTTGGCCTTGAAATTGGGTTTGCTTGAACAAAATCATGAATACTGCTTACAAGGAGGGAGGTGGGCTCCACTTAGAGAGGTCAGGTCTCTACTATGGTACTCTTGTGGGGCTCGAACAGTTGTCCGTTGACTGGCGACTAGACTGTCACCATTGAACTAGTTGAAAATTAAACCCAAGCAGAGTTTCACTCGTAATCGTCTGTGAGAACTCGAGTTTCTCCATTCATGTATTTTCTGTGTTCGACCCTCTCCTAGTTTAGCTTGTTTCAAGAAGAGGATAAGCTAAAGAGCCACACCAGTCCGAAACAATTTAGAGTTGGGAAGAAGAACAGGTCTCCTTTAAATACCCAAAATCTGAGAAACAACAACAAAACAAAAACACTTTTTTTTTTTTTAAAACCTTGCAGGACAGTTGCAGGGCAGAATTATCCATTTTGTCAAGTGGCAGGGGAAAGCCACAATACCCAAACGTCGTGTTAAATGCATCACAAGGAATGCATCAACTTAAAATTCATTGATTCATGCAAGGCAGATATTTCAATATTTCAGGTGGTAAATGGCTTGTTAAGAGAAACTTTAAAACTCTGCAGAAAAATATCACCAAGCTGATTTTTGTTCCACTCTTGATTTTAATTAGAAGTCAGGGAAGCACAAAGGTTAGACTATTCATGATCAAACCCAAGCACCATCGTAGGTTTGCTCGCTTTGTTGCAAAACTCTAAATACTTCTAGGAATCGACATGTGGGTGACAAAAGAGCCAACCTTTTGTTAGGTTGTTGGCCAACATGTGAGAACAAAACAGCTTCAGGGGCCTTTGGAAGAGACTCATTTACTCTTTTTGGTGGTGGGTCACCCTTTAAACCAGCCAAACCCAACAGTTTTACTTTGTTACAAAGTCCCTCATCTAAAAAAGGGGGAAATTAACCTAAAATATGCTCGGCAGTGCTCCGTCCCAACATAGAGCAACCCCACCCAATACCACACTCTCCATCTTCCTTCACTGTATGGAGTCAAGACAGTCATCCTATTTGAGCAGATACACGTGTCTGTAGTAGGTGCAAGCTTGTAAAGTACATCAGCAGTTTGGCCTCTGAGACAAGACTTCAGTACAGCATGTACACAAGTTCTCAATTCCAGGACTGAACTATAGAGATTTGCTTCACAGCAAGAAACACGTTTTTTTTATTACTATTTTTACAAAGATCATTTTAATTGGGTCCAAGTAGTTAAAGATGCATTTTCTGACATATCTGAAATGAGAAAGATAATTTAGGGTGTCGATCTTATGTTAAAAGCACAACAGTAGATTAGAAAGTAAATGCCATTCTTACCTTGAGCATCCTCATGTGTTCTAATTAAGCCTATTTCCAAGCTTGATGGTTGTCTATGGGAAAAGCCCTGCCCCTAGGATAAGGCCATGTTCTGCTTTGAGGCGGAGTCTGAAGGATATCCTGGGATCCCTGCTTGTGGGTCTCAATCTGAAGCCTGCGCTGAGAGCCCTGCCTCTGGGTACGTGTCGGAAACTTGTGCTGGGAATTCTGTACTTGCCTCCAAGTCTGAGGCTTTTTCTGTGTGCCTTGACTTTGAGGCAGGGTACTGCTTTCGAAGGCCTGATCCTGGGCAGGAACCAGGGACCGAGGCCAAACCTGATACCTGGAAACCTGGGACGGCAACGGAGCCTGGTAGTTGGGAACCCGGTGTTGTGACCTAGGCTTGTAGTTGGGAATCTGGTAATGTGACCAAGGCTTATAGTTGGGAATCTGGTAATGTGACCAAGGTTTATAGCTGGGCATCTGGTAATTTGACCAAGGCTTATAGGTGGGAACCTCAGAACGCAACCAGGACTGGTAATTAGGAATCTGGAAATGCGACCAGGGCCGGTAGTTGGGAAGCTGGAGCTGAAGGTTGGACTGGTAACCTGAGGCCTGCTGAGGTTTTACCACATGCGCAGTTACAGAGTCAGGATACCAAGCTGAAAACAGAAAGTTTTAGATCAACACCACAAGTGAAATAGTTCTTTTGTCATTTTCTACTTAAGCTGTAGTTTGAGTCAACATGTTGTAGTCTTACATTTTACATTTGCTTGAAGCTCCCCCACACAGAGTAGCCACGGCAGCACCGCACTAGAAAAGAATACAGGTTTAAGTAACCCTGTGTCCCTTCAAATGGACATAGCCATTATATGGGGGCACAAAATAGTACCATAATAGTTTCATAGCTTCAATCAGTGACGTGACCTAAATGCATGCAGAAAGGCAGCTGGACCCAAAAAACAAAAAATCTGCTTTCCTCCTTCGGTGGTGCAGTGGTGGGAGCGGTCCAGTGCACATAATTTATCTTCTTTTGACAGCCAGTCA